TCAGGGTCATTGCACACATGAACCCACAGTGGCCTTGTCTGCACGCACAAGACCCACAGAAGATTAAGCCAGCCAAAATCTGAGCAAGGGTGGGGGAAGGGCTAACAAATTTCCACCAGTAACTGAGCAGCTAGCTACCAGTAACTGATGCCTTCTGGGCAGGAAGAATAAGGTTTTTAGTTTTTGGGGTTTTTTTGGTTTTTTTCGGATGTGGTCCTTGGTAGTGCCCCCATGTTGCAGGTAGATGGCCCTAAACCCATGCACATATTACTGGAGACACTAAGTGGACTCAGTGGATTTGCATGCCCTTAGGAGGGGAATGTGATCAGAAAGGATACAAGTGATCCGGGAGGCTGTGGAGGGTGTGATCAAAATGTATCTATAGAATCAGCATTATAAACAGATATTCTGTAGAGAGTTAAGAATGTGAAGTTACCTCACTGAGCTATCAGGTTTCTTACCTCAGTGTATGCCTCCAGTGCCTTGGTTGACACAAATATTAGAATAATTTAAAATGATTAATGTAAGTGCAGAGGAAGCCCAGATTGAGTGAATGTGTGCTGTTGACATAACCATAGCTGGGCCGAGAACCCCAGAGACACAGACCCATGGAGCAAAGGGCAAAGCCTTCTCCCGAGGGTTGAAGACTGGGAAGGAAATGGCAAAGCCTTCCCTTCTGGTCTGTGTGTGGATGTTGATAACGTGGGTGAACTTATCCAGAAATACTGTTCTTCCACTAGATGCTGCAGCCGGAAGAGCATTCCCCTGGTACTCTTGCTGAGACCAGCTAAACAGCTTCATCTGGCTGTTCACCAGAAACCTTGTCTCTCCTCCCTGCTCAACTTTATAGGGAAACATGCTGAGCTTCTGGGATGCTGAGGTTTCTGTAGCAGAGAGCCCAGACTGTCCTAGCTCTGTCTTTTCTCCATTTCCTCACTATCCCAAGTGGAGGCCACGCATGAACATGGCAGGAATGGGTGCTCATTTTATATCGCATTCAGGGTTGGTGAATGAATTTAGGGGTCACAGAAATGAGGCAGTTAAGACAAATTGTACATCTGGATTGGGTGTCTGCGTAAGAGAGGGTGACACTCCCTTAGATGGGAAGTAAGCCACTGGTGCTCATCAGTCCTGAGAGTCATTTGTGATCCGATCCCAAAGACAGCTTCCAGCACCAGTAGATGTATGTGCCTGAGGCGGGAGAACTCCTCCCTGGTTGGGAGGGATGCTACTCTGCTCTGGGTTGGAAAGGCAGTGGGCATGGAAGGGGTGTGAAAGGGGCAGTGTGTTCCTTTCAGAAGCCTCACTGCTAGGAGAATGACAAAAGCTGAAGGATGCACTCAGAATAGGGCTTTCTCCTGTGATCACAGATCAGGGTGTGTGAAGAGATAAGCTAGCAGAGTTGTGAAAGATGGCGAAGTGGAGAGGAGGAAGTGGTAGATGGAGAACCTGGGAATAACAAGATAGTGGCACCAAAGCACAGGGAGAGCACTGAGTGGTGAGCCATGCCCTCCTGTGTTTATGTATCTAGTGTGTGTTGATGCTTTTTGTTTTGAGATGGGGTCTGACTACAGCCCTGGGACTCACTCTGTAGACCAGGATGGCCTCAGACTCACAGAGATCACCTGCCTCTACTTTCCAAGTGCTGAGGTTAAAGGTGTGCCCTAGATGTGTGTTGGCATAAGAAGGTTGGATTTCACAGGGCACAGTGGTGCACGCCTTTAATCCCAGCACTTGGGAGGCAGAGGAAGAGCTCTTTGAGTTCTGGTCTACAAGGTAAGTTCCAGGGCTACACACAGAGAAACCCTGTCAAAAAAAAAAAAAAAAAAAAAAGAAGTTGGATTTCTTGCCCATCCCCTACAGCAAGCATCTTTTCAGTAAATATGTCCCGTGCTAAGTGGCAGGACCATTATTTGGGTTAAAACTTGGACCAGTGGATGTGGAAAAAGACTGAACACTGATCATGAGCAGTGCCCAGATCTGGTTGGTGGCATTTTCTCTGGCTTTCTCGGCTGCTCTGTTGGAGGAAGAAGCATTCATTCAGAGCTGACCCCTGCTGGGATCTGACCAGGGGCTGAGGGACCTACTTTCTAATGACACCGAGGGCTGCTGAGCTAGACAGTGATTAATTGATGAGCCAAGGACAGCAAGAGGATATTGATAGCAGTAATCACAGCAGTATTAAAATAGAAGAAAAACAAAGAGCTTCAAATGCTGAGATTCACTCTTGCTTAAAACCATTAACATCACAAACCACTCTATGATTTAATTAGAAGCACTGGAAAGAAGGAAGTTTATTGATAATGATACAAACAATGTTGAGAATACAAAGGCCTTAGCTGTTGCTAGAAAGATGAGGAAGAACACTGACGAAATTTATAAATAAGTTATCAGATAGGCAGGCAGGCGCACACACAGCAGCAGCATGACCCTGGGAGGAGAAAGGACTTAAGTAAGAAACTGACAGATGCTGTACCTTGTTTTCATGAAATGAGCTTCTGCCAGGTCTATTGGCTGTGACTATTTTTTTAAATGGATTTTTCCTAAGAGTATAATAACTGACTTCAGGGATAAGATTACCAGAAAGCACATACACTTTTTCCTTCTCCCCCGCCTTTTTTCTTAGCTCTTTGGAGAGAGTCTATGTAGCCTAGGCTGGCCTCAACCTCTGGATCTTCCAGTTTCAGCCCAAGTCCTAGGATTACAGATGTATGCCACCACACCCAGTTCCATGCTTTAAGATGCCAAATATACGCTCTACTAGTTTACTACACAAAATTTTGTCGTGCACACGTGTAAGAATAGTTATTCATTCTTCCAGTTAGCTTCAGCTGTCAGCTTGAATTATCTGAGGGAGTCTCGACTGGGGGATTGGCTCAAACTAACTGGCCTGTGGGCATGTCTGTGGGCGTCTTTTGATGGTTCATTGACGCGGGCAATATAAGCATCAGGCAGGTGGTCCTGGGTTATGTAAGAAAAGCTGGCTTCGCAATAGCCAGGGGATCCAGCCAGTAAGTAGCATTCTTCTGTGGTTTCTACTTCAGGTTCCTGCTTTGAGTTCCTGGCTTGGCTTTCTTCAACCATGGAACAGAAACTGTAAGCTGAAATAAACCCTTTCTTCCCCAAGTTACCTTTGGTCAGTGCTTTATCACAACAACAGAAAAATAACTAGGACAGTCTTCTAGGTAGGCTGAAGTCATGGTGATCATGGATAGAACCTCTCATCTTTGCCTCAGTGCTCAACAGCTATTACTCTGTAAGTGACATCAATTCCAGTGCTTTTCAGAGAGCACTAAAATCCTTCGTCCTTGCTTCTACTCAGACATGACATGCCCCATAGAAACCTATCTCACAATGGAAAGTAAAGCGAGTTATTTTTTTTAAATCAATGCTTATGATCATGTATGAGTCTTTCAAAAGCCAGAGCATCTTCTCATATATACTATTTCATTTGGTTTCCACTACCGCCCTGTGAGGCAGAAATTATCCCCTCATAGAGAGTCTTCTCCAATACTTCCTGTGATACTGTCAACTTGACAGGGTCTAGAATCACTTAGGAGACAAACCTCTGACTTTGTTTGTTAAGAGAAGTTTCTAGATTAGACTGAGGTGGAAAGGCCCACTCAGAATTTGCACAGCAGCAGTCCTATGGGCTGGGGGGCCTGGACTGAACGGAAGGGAGAAAGTGGTCTGCAGCTCAGCGTTCATCTCTCTGTTTCCAGGTTGTAGATGCAAACAGGGCTAGTTGCCATGAGCTCCTGCTGCAATGATGGACTGTATCCTCAAACTGTGAGCCAAAATACAGCCTCGGGTTGTTTTCAAAAGTAACAAGCTACACACTAAAGTGTACTGTGAAGAACTACTGGCTTGGAAAAGTGAATTCTCTGGGTAAAAGACAACATTAGATGTACAGACACTCAAATACTGCTGTAGATTAGTTCCTTGGGTAAGGACCCCAAGAGTAAATCAAACTTCTTTCTCAAGGCAAGTGTTACAGTGAAGAAGGAATCCAGGCCCTAGTGCTTCAGGAGCACTGGTTCTCTTCTTCTTCTGTAATCTCCATTTCTTCCAGCTCACCTCTTCCCTCTATACACTAGCATATTCACTGTTTCCATTCCTTAAACATTCACTGACCTGGAAGTATTCCATGAAGTAGCTGTAGATTGCCATTTAAATTTATTAAAATTAAGTAAAATGAAAAATTCGGTTCTTCAAGTCTGCCAGTCCCAAATCACACCCCTAAACACACTTATGAACGTTCTATTAGACAGTTAATCCAAGAATGAAAATCCTTCAGTGGTTTGGGGGGGCTGAGGCAGAAGAATTCTGAGCTGGAGGCCAATCTGCTGTTCAAAGTCCGAAGAGAGAAAAGGGAGAGGGAAAGAGTGGGAAAGACAGTTAGCCATATTTGAATGAATCTGTCTCTGACTTCGCGATCAGAAGACGTTGGAATGAAGGAGAACTAACACTCTTCCTGTAACCAAGATGTGTGACCACATGGTTCCATCTCCTAACATCACGGTGTAGGTACCATGGTTAGGCCTACTGTGGGACTATCACAAGACCCCATGACCAAGATACATGGGCCGCGAAAAAACAAGTGAGCTAGCCTGTGTTTGTGGGAGTTCACAAAGGCCTGGGGGCAAGAAGAGATCAAAACCCATTTGTCCACACCGAAGAACTTCCCGAGTTGGCCACTGGCTCCTTACACTGAAATTACCTGAGCCTGTCAACAGAGCCCATCCATTCCCTGCTTTCCATCCGAGTATCTGCGGGCGATGCGGATCTCTACCCGAAACTCCACACCACGCAACTCCCTGACTTGGTTTCCTCCTGCATGCCTGTTTCCTGAGGTCGCACCGGGATCCAGACCGCCGCCAGCCTGTTTCTCCGCGTGTGGACCCGAGACTCTGCTAGTCGGGCCGCTCGCGTCACCCGCCTGGCGCACAGAGGCTCCGAACGCGCGTCCCCGCGGGTCCCGCCCAGCCCGGTCAGCCTACCCTCGCAGATCTGCTCCCACAGGTTCTTCCCCGGCGGCTCGGCGACCTGCACGGGCGACACGAGACTTTCGGGGGACCCGGGCGGCACTGCGGGCACAGGCGTCCGCGTAGTGGCCAACAGGTCGGCAGAGCCTCCCGCCTCTTCGCGGTGCGTGATGCGGCTGGACGTCTGTCTGGGCACCGCCATGGACGCGGTTTCTACAGCAACCACGGACTCCGACAGTCCGCAACCCGGAAGAAGACCTCCTTCGAGGGGTCGGGCCAGAAGCTCGAAACTGACTTCCGGGTCGCGGCAGCGCGGGCTCTCATTTGGGGAGGCTTGGCCTGAGGCTAGACCAGGTGAGCGCGGGTGGCGCGGGCCGGCCGGGGAGTGGGGTCTGCACGGTGAGGGAGAGGAAACACAAAGATCAGTCACCCCAGACTCGCCCGCGGCCCTTGCTTCCTCCCCAAGCCTTCCCGCCTTGAAGTCGGCCCGCGTTTCTGACCCTAGCTCGCAGCCTGTAGTCGGTGAGGAGAGCACACGCTCCTCTGGGCTTGAATCCTTGCTTTGCCTCTTGCTGACTTTGGGACCTAGTGAATTAACGTCTCCGAGGCCTGTGAGCACCGCGGGAACTTAAAAGTGCCTTAAGACTGGGCGTAGTGGCCCACGTCTGTAATCCAGGCACGCGGGATACCGAGGCAGGAGGATCCTGAGTTGCAGCCCAGGCCGGGTGGTGTGGCCAAACTTTTGTCTTAAAAACAAAGCCTTGTTGAAGAAAGCGTGTGTTTGCAGGCGATAGGGTAGGTTTGTTTCAGTTTCTCGCGAAAGTGGGTATCTGTACAGTTGGTTACAGGGATGGCAAAAGGACGCTCCAGGGTGCTAGCTGGGTGGCAGAATGGCTGACTCCTGGTGCTTTTTTTTAATCCTGGTCATCTCTCTTGACCATCTCCAGGAATACTGCAGCGTTGTCTAACTTGACACCACCATGGCTCTCTCTCCTTTCTGAGTCCCCTTCCTCTGTCCTCTGAAAGTATGTCTTGAGGTCCAGTCGGCTCTCCTTTTTTATTGTTGTTTTGATTTGGTTTTGGTTTTTTGAGACAGGTTTCTCAGTATAGCCTTGGCTGCCCTGGACTCCCTTGATAGACTCACAGAGATGTGCCTCCCTGATTGCTGGGATTACAGGCGTGGGCCACCACACCCAGCTGTCTGTTCTCTTCTTAATTGCCATCCCTGAAATCCTGTTTGTGTCATCTTGGCCAACGTCACACCTTTGCCTCAGACCTACACATACACCTGTTCAGTGTATTACTGTTTCACCCTCCAGTTTTGTCTCAAGGGTTGGCACCACCATCCTATTGCTCAAGCTGGAAAACCATGTTCAGACATTTTCTTGACAACTGGGCACTGTGTTGGTTAGTTGTGTCAAGTTGACACAAGCTAGAGGCAGTTGGGAAGAGGAACTCCCAGTTGAGAAAATGCCTTCATAATCTTGGTCTAAAGACACGTCTGTGGGGGCAGTTTCTTGGTTAACAATTGATGTGGGAGGGCCCAGGACTCTCCTGTTCCCCATTTAAAGCAAGGTGTGAATATACTTAAACTATATAGTTCAGGCCTGGCTTGCATCTTTGAAGCCACCAAGAGTGAGCTGGGTCCTGTGCGGACCCTGTGGGCTCTGAAGACAAAGAGGGGTGCAGGGTGGAGAGGCTCCTGCCTCCTAATTTCCACCTCCCCCCCTGGAAGCCTCCCATGTTTTGTCTCTAGTCCAGGGAATAGCAAGAACCAGACTGGTGACAGTAGCAAAAGCCATGTATTGTGGTCTCCACCCGCTTGCCAGAAGTGCTTCTCTAAAAGGAACTTTTGTTCGCCTGTTTCAGTTGTTGTCTTGGAAACCTACTTCGTCTGTCTGCTAACCTAGGCCCAGTCCTTGAAGGTTCTAGCCTCCATACCATCTAACCTAGAATGTTTTCTTTCTGCCTGTGAGACTTTTACTGCTTAATAAGCTCACCCTTTCTTGTTCTTTCTGAGCTCGTAGCTGGCTGGTTCAACTCCGATGTTCTGGCTCAAACTATTCTCCCGGCTAATTCGATCCGGCTTTTCTCTGAATTGCTCTGGTTGGCCTCAAACTAACTCCAGCAATCTTTTCTAATCTGGCTCCTTCTCATTCTCTGGCTCGTTCTGTCTTCACGTGTGTCTTAAGTTTGTTCTCTTATTCAATCTCTCTCTGTAAAACTCTCCTGGTAAAACTGCCTCCTCTCTCTCATTCTCAGTGCTGCACCCTTAAGTAAATTTCCTCCCCTCCCTGTTCTCATGAGAGTTGGGCATAGCCTTCTCTGATTCGTCACTTTTTCTGCCACTCAAACATCAATTTCAAACATGGGTGCTTCCTTCTACAAACTAGCTTTACCTTCATTTTTTGGGTACCACCATGCCTGGACCTAAGCTTTTCTTTACTTGAAACTTGCTCTGTACCAGGCTGGTCTTGAACTCAGATATGTTTGCCCATCTCCTGGATTAAAAGCATGTTGGTATTCTAGCTGGATCACACAGACATAGAAGTTTTTTGGATGTGATCACTTGGGAGAACTGCCGTGTTCTGAGTTAAGAGATGGCTCAGAGGTTAAGCACACTGGCTGTTCTTCCAAAGGTCCTGAGTTCAATTCCCAGAAACCCCATGGTGGCTCACAACCATCTAAAATGTAATCCTGTGCCCTCTTCTGTCGTGCAGGCTTTCATGCAGGCAGAATAATGTATGTATAAATAAATAAACCTTAGAAAAAAAATTTCCTCTATGTGCTTCTGTTTTCCTGAGGAGAACTAGGTAATCAAGGTCTGGATATATTATTGCCACTCATTAGTTGCTGGCAATCACTTTGAAATTGAAGACAGTAAATCAGGCTTACAAACTGGGGAAGCCCCCAACTTGTGTACCTTCTGGTTCAACCTTTATAAAGATGATAAAAGTGAGGTCCAGAGAAGCCAAGGGTATAAGGCAAGAAGAAGTATACCAGAATTTCCATTTGTCCCAAGTGTTTGGATCCTGGCTAGGGCTTGTCTCACTGTGCCACCTTGTTAGGTAGCTTGGAATGGTAAAAGTCAGGGGATGGGGGATTCATTTCTAGACCTAGAGTAGGAACGCTTTATATAGATGAGCCAGAGGAAGGGTTTGACTGTTAACTGTGCCACTTAATTGGATTTGGTGGAAGGCGGTGAGGCAGGCTGCTTGGAATTTGCTTCATCTGTTAAAAGAAAAGCCATGGAAGCCAGCAAATGGTTTGATCACAGTTGGGTCTTGTAGGGCTGGCTTGGGTAGGCAAATATGTGTTGAATTTGGGTCTGGCGGTTTCAGGTTGATGGCAGACAAGGAATCAGCAGTGCTTAAAGCCTTTTCTGTAGGTTCTCTGGCACCTCTTTGAAGATGGATGTTATTTCCTCCCAAAAAAGGAAACTGACATTCAGTCAAATTGAGTGAATAGTTTCAGTTTGAATGTAGGGCCATCTGGATTTACACTCCCGGCCATTTAGTTGTCTTTCCACTTGCTCAATGGGAGCTGTTTTCCCCATTCCCCCATGTCAAACTACCCACTCAGAAGAACTTTGGGACCACAGGCTGGGACGGGTAAAAAGATAAATTACATTATTTCTGTTTTTCTCAGGAATGGTCAGCAAGACTCAGGAAGCAGCCTTGGTCCCACAGCTCCCAGAGAAGAAGAAAAAGAAGAAGAAAAAGAAGGCGCTGGTTATAGACGTCACAGAACCAGAGACTCAATACTCAGTCTTAAACAGTAACGATTATTTTGTAGATGTTTCTCCTCCAAGGACCACATGCCCCTCTAACAATGTGGATGAAGGGCAGGTCCCCGAGATGTCACTGTGCAAGAAAAAGAAGAAAAAAAAATCCTCTGGCGCTCAGTTGGAGGAGCACCTGAAGCCTGAGCCCACACAGGCAAGACAAAAAAAGGCATCCAGCCCTAGAAGGCCGGTCCTTGAGCAGTCGACAGAATGCCTTATCGGAGAGAAGAAAAAGAAGAGGCAGAAGTCCTTACTGCAGACTGCCTCCCGAGTCTCGGGGCTGAAGACCTCTCCAGATGCCAAGCATGCCGACGAGGTAAGCAAAGCTGGTAAGAAGTCCAAAAAGCACAGGAAGGATAAGGTTCCCGACGAGGCAGCCCTTCCTCTCCAGGACTATTGGTTCTGTGAAGCTGAGGAGTCCCTGCTCCCATGCACAGAGGGGACAGAGGCTGAGGAGGAGGCGGCCTTGGGGCAGAAAAGGAAGCAGGGGAGCCCCAGAGATCACAGCATGAAGAAGAAGAAGAAAAAGACCCACCAGGAGGGAGACATCCCCCTGCTCAGCTCCAAGTTCTCCATGCACAGACTGAAGAAAGGAAATGGGAAATCTGTCAAGAGTGAGACTGTGGACTACATCCCAATAGAGAGCCTGGTGGCCCCTGGGAAGAAGAAAGTCAAATCCAAGAACAAGGTGGAGCAGCCAGTTGCTGAAGGGCTGGCTGTGAAAAGGAAGAAGAAGAAGAAGAGGGAGGAAAGTACAGTAAAGGAAGCCCTCTGGGAGGAAGAAGAGGTGGGTTTCCTTGGGTCCTGTGGTGGGGTTGTCATGAGTGCCTGCACATGTGTCAGTGGGGTACTTGTGCATGTAGCTGACAGCAGCCCAGTGCATACGTGTGTGCACATGAGCATGCATGCATGCAAACATGCACGTTCATACGTACTAGAAAAGGATAGGAGCCATCTATTTTCTAGAAAACTGGATCCTGTACTGTCCCCAGTGGTGCAGGTATCCTTCACTATTCATAAACAGGGAATCAATGTTTTATATAAATGTCTTAACGGCTTGTGTTCCTGCCACTTGCTGTCTTCCTCCCAGGAGCCTGATAGTTTGAGATAGCCTGGTATCTGTGGTTGTCGGCTATAAGCTATAGGGATTACGTTGTGTACCTGGTGCTCTGAGTTCTTAGCTTCACCCACAAGTCTGATAAGGAAGCTGTCCTGCCCCTCCGCATCTCACAGACAGGATAGTGTGAGGCTGAAGGGAGCTTGTCTCAAGTCACCCAGCTGAGACCAAGTAGAGTCGGGGCTCAAACCCAGGCAGTGTTGCTTCTTGCTCAGGAAATCCCCGAGTATGTCAGGAGATGCCACTGTGCCTTTCCTAAAAGCCAGTGTCTCGGCAACCCAGGAAATGACCATCTTCAAAGGGAGCAAGACCTGGCTTCTCCAGCTCCGTGCCAGCCATAGCCCTTTGGCCTCATGTGATGATGGACTTTTACTGAGGAGGACCTGTAAGAGATAGGTTGGGATGGGGTCAGGATGACAGGAATGGCTGTGTTGGGGCCTGAAGGATAGTTGTGGTTGCTGGCATTCTCCCAGCTTTGTCCTCAGGCATTAGGCTCTGTTTCACCACGCAAGGCTCGTGTATGGAAGTCAGAAGACAGTTTGAGGGAGACTGTTTGCTCTTTCATGATGTGGGTCCTGGGTAAGCTGAGGTCGATCAGGCATGCTGGCAAGCTGACCCTACTGCTCTTTCTTCAGAAACTCAGAGCTAGGGAGATGGTTCCGTGGGTAAGAGTGCTTGCTCTGTAGGCACTGGGTCCAGAGTTCTAATCCCCAGTAGTCACCTGAAAAGCTGTGCATGGCAGTATGTGCCGTGACCTCAACGTTGGTGGGGAGAGAGAAGCAGGCAAGATTCTAAGCGCTAGCTTCTGCTCCTTTGAGAGGCCCCCATCTCAAGGCCCTGGAGAGAAGACTGGTAGAGGAAGGCACCACTCACCTCACCTGTGTGCACCCGTGTGCATGCGACATGCAGGAAAATCAGGGCACGCTGAACTCACAGGTGTACATCTAGTTCTCATTCAATTTTAGGACCTCTTTCCCCCAGGGGACCAGTGAAAGGCATCCCCTTTGTCTCACGCCTTCCAGACCACCGCACAGTGTGCTGAGTCATACAGCTCAGGCCAGGAGTGTAAGGAGGGGTAAGGAAGGCTCCCTCCCGATCATCTCCATGACACTGGGGCCAAGCACAGCACTCTTAAAAAAAAGGATGCAAAAGCCGTTGGCAGTTGGCATTCATGATGGACCAGGGACTGACTGCCCCAGCCTGCAGTTAGAGGGTACCCCGAGGACCTGGATAAAAATGGTTAGGAAGACCCCTGATAGGCCATCAGCAAGCCAAGGGTAACTCAGTTGCACACTAGCCATTGAGTAAGGAGACCTGGATTCAAGTTGGCCCTGTCACTGAGCTGCAGGGTGACATGGTCATTCCTTTTTACCTTTCCGAGCCTCAGCTTTGTCATCTGGCCTAGTGCCACCACTTGCTGGGGGAGGCATGAAAGGGCCTTGTTGTCTGAGGTTTTGTCTGGGTGGCAGAAACTAGTGCTGCCATGCTCACGGGTCTTTCTTGGACTGTCTGCCCTCCTCAGTGGATGCTGTGCTGAGGCTGTCCACGGCTTGCCTGAGCTAATATCTGCCTTCTTTGCAGGAGTCAGACACAGACTTGGAGGTGGTACTGGAAAAGAAAGGCAACATGGATGAGGCCTGCATAGATAAGGTATGGCCCAGCCTGTCCTGTCTTACCTCTTTTCACTCCCTAGATACCCTCACCATCCACCAGACCACAGTTCCTGGGCTTAGAGGGAAAGCCTCTTGTCCAATTCCATGGCACACCTCTAAGGGGCAGGTAAACTTGTGCTCTCCTCCACCTCTGGCCAGGGGATCCCAAAGCTGCTGTCACTGTTTGAGTGTCCTGGTAGGCCCTATCATGTAGCTCATTGCAGAGTGTCAGGAAGATGGGGGCCTGGGACTGTGTAGCCAGAGCAGGTACACATGCCCAGCCATGCACATGGGGTGTGTCCACTATTTCAGCTTGAGAGAGTTATCTTAGAGACTAGTTTATCATGTGCAGGTCCCTGTGTGAGATGCAGACTTTGGGGAGCAGGGATGTGTTTATTATGTTCCTTGACCCCAGTGCTTGGCAGGACTGAGGAACCTGGTGTTAGTCCATGCTTCACCGCTTACTCTTCTCTTCTGTGAATCAGCATGGGTCTTCGTAGGCAGCTGTGGAGACTAAGGCAGGAGGATGCAGGAAGGAGTCATAGGCCCAGGTGGATGGCACCTGGTCCCCATGGCACCTGCTGAGGCAGCCCTATGACAGAGATTGGACAATCCTGCCTCACAGGTCCTCATGTCCACCTTAGGAGAGAAGGGCTGATAGAGTTACATCAAGTGAGGAGGGCCACCCAGAAGAGATGGTGATGTGCCAGACCTGTGGAGCTGTGGGCGTGGGGGACTGTACTTGGAGGAGAGTGATACATACTCTAGCCAAGAGGAGGACCAAGGGAGTGATGTGTTAGAGCTTTTCCAAGGCGGGCAAGGACCACTGGCCTCCAGGGCTCCTAACCTTGCAGGGCCAGGAGTGCTGTGCTTGACAGGGCCAAGGACAGGGGTGCTATAGTGACCAGGACACCATGCAGAGGGCCAGCCATGGGGCTCCAACTCTTCCAGGCCTTGTCCCTTGGCTGCTGTTAGCCTCCTGGGACACAGCCAAATGCTAAGCAGCCCCATACCCATATGTGCAGAGCTCTTGGACTTTATGGTTTTCTGCCTACTAAATGTATGTATTCTCTGAGGGGTGTCAGAGGGTGGCCTCAAGTTTCCTGGAATTCTCCCACCTACTGTCCTAAGTGAGCTCCTCCTGGGTGCTTCCAGTTTGCCTTGTACTGTGTGTGACTAAGACAGGGGAGTCAGGCAGCGTGCAGTTCTGGCCACTCACTGCTTCTATCGTGGCAAATACTCACCTGTTACCCTCATCCCTGGTTTTCTCCTCTACAGCAGCTGCTACAGATTTTGTGTTTTGAATTGAATGGCAGGTCCCCTCATTTCAAAGTCCATGGTAGGTAAAGGGGAATCAAAGTTAGACCTTAATCCTTGGGAAGGAAGCAAACACCCTGCAGGATGCTGCTGTGCCGGCACCTGAGCTGGCCTAGCCTGAGAGTGCCACGGTGCAATGTGGGCTGCTAGTGTGCCAGCAGAGGCCCTGAGGTGGCCTAGCTCGAGAATGCCCAGTGCTCTGCCATGGATGCTTCTGCTTCTTCCCAGACCACAAGCTTCACAGCTTCTGCAGATGAATAATCCAGTGGTCAGAAAGGTGAACCGAGTTTTGCAAGGCTTGACAGTCTGTTAGCAGGGTGGCTGGGATTCCAGTTTGTGTCTGCCTTGTTTCCAGAAAGGAATGCTATCCTCATTGAAACTGACCGCAATATATACTACACAAAAGAGGGCCTTTTGCTCAGCATCTCCGAGTAGACAAGTTTCCACACATATCACTGTTACAGTATGTTCTCCTGCTAAAGGTGGATCACTGTCTGTTACAGGAAAATCACTTGTCAAGAAATTGTGCCCAAGACAAATGTTTCAGGCCAGGGGACCAACTATTAGCCAGAGTGTCCTGTATGCTCTGGACTCTGGAGCAGAGTGAAGCTCATGGTCTTCCGCCCCACCTTTGTGCAGTAGAGAACTTCTCACTGCCCCCTTTTATTTATTCATTTGTTTGTTTGTTTGTTTTCTCCTGTCCTTGCATAGGTGAGACGGAAGGCCTTGCAAGAAGAGATTGATCGTGAGTCGGGCAAGACAGAGGCTTCAGAACCCAAAAAGTGGACGGTGGGTTCGCTGTGGTGGTCTTGACAACCAGAACCTAAGGTGCCCAGCTGGCCGGGCCCGGAATTGGTCTGAGCCAGTTTCACTCCCTCTGCAGGGGTGCTGGTCTCCTTGCTAAGGAGCTGGCCACTGACATATGCCCCTAGACTTCACGTCCTATCGTGGACAATGGGGTGACTTGCAGAGTAATCACAAGAGGCTCTTTGTAGTGGGAAGTACCCGTGGGGGGCGGTTGAGAGTATGCAGGAGGCGTGGGAGTGGGAGCCAGAGTTCTTAAGACTCCACTGGAAAACATCCAGACCCTATCTGAGAAGGTAGGCCAGGTGGGGGATGGTGTGAGGGCCATGGTCTTGGCTGTGTGGCCTGGCCATAGCTCTGCCTCTCTGTGCCTTCAGGCAGCTTTACAACCTCGGCCCCTAGGCGGCCTCCACATGGGTCGGCACTGTGCTGGGTGGAGGTACACAGGACCCTCATCAGAGTCTGTGTAGTGCCTGGAGGGGTGAGTGTGGGTGGTGTCCTGTACTACCTGATTACAAGTAAGGCCTCCCAGGGCAGGTGACACCCAAAGACTCTCACTGGTGGTACCAGTCCTTAACATATGGGCAATGTTAAGTGCAGGGCCCGAAAGTTGGGGTGGACTCAGGCTGGTCCTTTGTAAAGGCCAGGTTGATGGCGGTAGCAGGAACTAGCTAAGGTGTCACACAGTTCCAGTCCAGGACCATGGGGGAGTTTCTACAAGACGGTGACCTGAGGGAGCCACTGTAGAGCATGGGTATGAAGGGGAATAGAAGGTAGAAAAGGAAACTTTGCAGTGTTTGGGAGGTGTGGCCATGGACTTGTTACTGGAGAGAAGGCCAGTCTGCCTGCTCTGTCCTTAGCCTCAGCATTGATTTGGATGCAAGGCCTGAGGTCAGTTACTGACTGCCACTTTCTAGTGTCTTCCTGGAGAGCCTCAGTTTCCATTACTGTGAAATGGAGCTCCTCTTGTGGCGCTGGGAGGTGGTGCTGTAGTTTTGTTTGTGTAGATAAGGCCTCATGTAGCCTCTCATACTTGCCTATACAGTGAACTTGAACTTGAACTCCTAATCCTGCCTCTACCACCTAGGTGCTGTGATTACATGCATGTATACTAGGCCCAGTTTGCACATTGCCAGGGAGAGAGCCAGGGCTTTGTGCATGCTTGGCGAACACTTTCCCACTGAGCCACATTTCCAGTCCTGGATACATTTCATTGTGTACCTTCCTTCTTCACATCTTCTCTCTCTCTTCAGCTGAGCAAAACTGATAGGAGAGCAAGTTGGATAAGTAGGATGAAAGACACTGCGCTGTTATTCAGCCAGTGCTCCAGGCACTGTCTCTTAATAACCTGGCTGCCGGGCATGGGGGCTTGGAGACAGCCGGGGGTACTCAGATGTCCTCATCTTCTAGGATCTTGGCCACCTGGGTGTGGAGGCATTGGTGGGGATTCCAGACTGCCAGGACCAGCAGTCTTGAATCGACCCTTGGCTGTGGGCTTAGATCTAAGTGATGTTACAGGCAGCCTCTGCCTTAGAGGCTGTAGGCCTAGAAAGCCACACTTATTCCTGCATGTGAGCCACGTGAAGCTGGGAGAATGTCACCAGTTCATCTAGAGCAGCTGTAAATGACACCTGTTCTGATTATCCCCCCAACACCGACCTGGAAATGAGTGCTAGGCTGGCCTCTGGTGCTCAGGCAGTTGCTAGGCAGTGTGGAGGGCAGCTGACAGGTGGCGAGCAGTACGGTGTGGAGCTAGCATGTGCTGAGAATTGCATGCTGGGGCTTTGGCATAAGATCTGACTCCGTTCTCTGCTGCCTTGTGTGGGGTGTCGCCCCATTCTTTCAAGGCAGACTTTGAGGCTTAAGAGAGAGAAGTTGTGACTTGATCAACCACAGGTGGGGCTTCATCGCAGGCTTCGTAACTTCAGGGCCACAGTCTTGGAGACCTGAGCCAGTCATAGACCTGAGGTGGAATGGGTTTTGGAGAGCTCTCACATTTTCTAGCACAGGGAGATTTGTACACTGTTGACAAACACAGCACCTCTGGTTCCTGACTCTTCTCCTGCTGTCAGACTAGAGGAATAGCTGGCTGGTGATTGCCATGTGGGGGAGCTTTCCTATGTTGAGGATGGGGGGAAGGGTGATGATGTGCTCTACACTACAGTGAGGAGAAGGGTGAGGGAAGTGGCTCAGTGGTTAAAGCATCTGCTGCCCAAGTAAACATAAGGACCTGAATTTGAATCCCCAGAAGCCGCATGAAAGCCAGACACATAGCACAAGTGTCTATGGTTCTAGTACTCCTAGGTAAGACTCTGTTGTACGACACTGCTCTATGGAGGAACAACCAAACATCTACTCACCCTATACAGGGAACCAATGGCTAAAGTGATGAGACCACCAAAGTAAAGCTTGCTGAACATACCAGTTTATTGAGGTTGCAGGAGTATGGGTTACTTAGAAGAGTATGGATAACTGAAGGGCAGCTGTATTACCGAAAGTCCACCCCAGCATGGGTAAGAACTCATGAAAGCTAGAACTTGCAAGCAGTTCAACAGGCCTGCAGAACTTATTGCTTATGTAAACTTGAGGGGGGCGGGGGGCTTGTGAACCTGCTAATTTTCAGGGACTGCCTCAGACTTGTGAGTTGTTTACTTCCTGGCTCATCTCAGAATGAACTACTTAAAATCAGAGAACTGCTACACAACACAGGCTATACAGGAGGATCTCTGGAAGCTTATGGCCAGCCCAGTATATGCAGAAGAAAAATAGAGAGAGATCTTGTTTCAAATAAGGTGGAAGGCAAAACCAGCCCCTAAGGTTGTTCTCTTACCTCCACATGTGTACACACACACTGTGTATGAACACACACAAACAACAAAACATAGGCTGGACTGTGGGAAGGTTGAGATGTGTTACAAAGTCAGGTGAGGTGGCCTGTGTTTTGGGTAAGGAGTGTGAATGAAGTGAGAATGTATGAAGAGGAGGGAAGTGTTTTAACTGTCACCATGTCTTGGAGAAGGAGGAGTAGAGTGCTGATTAGCTTGGTGTGCAGTGACACATTTGTTAGAAGCCAATGGTGGGCTTGCAGGTTGGTCATTCTCAAGTTGGGAGTCATCTTGACATATCTCCCGCATTAAGCTATAGGCCTCATTTCCTCACCTGTATGTGGGAGTGAGTAGCCGTATCCCTCAGAGCTCATTAGGATGGATGAAACAGTCCATTGCTTGGCTAAGGGAAGCATTTGTCTTCAAGGGCAATGACAGCCTTTTACTCTCCATTCAGAGAACACAGTTTGGCCAGTGGGACACAGCCGGCTTCAAAAATGAAGAACAGAAACTGAAATTCCTGAAGCTTATGGGTGGCTTTAAGCATCTGTCTCCATCATTCAGCCGCCCTGGCAGCATGACCAGCAGGTTCAACATGGCCCTGGACAAGAAGTCTACGGACACGCTCCAGCAGAGTCTGCAGCAGGAATATGAGCGGGCCATTAGCTTGAAGTACAGCCGTGGGGCTGGCCTGGGCTTCTCTGAGGCCCGCAAGGTCTTCTACATTGACCGTAACGCCTCCAAGGCTATCAAGTTGCAAGATTAAACTTTGTTGTCCTTCCTGATCCTCAAACTGCATTTCTGATCAGTTTTGGCATCTGTCAAGTTGCCAAAGTTGAACCAGTCACGTGCAGATATTGAGGACCACTCACAATGAGTTTTGCACAAGTGGGTGGAGGCCGTTTGTCAGGATCCAGCGTGAATGGCTAAAGCCTCCTGTTTTCTGTGTTAAACCTTCCATCTCCTTGGGTGACGGCATTTTAATAGTAGCTAGCAGTTGTTGATGTGTGTAGGTAGGGTCCTGACTGAAGTGTCTTCCTTGCATTGATATACTTAAACTTAATTATGGAATGGGTGCTACTCTCATCTTCATTTTACAGATGCCGCAACTTAAAGTTCAGGGATAAAGTAACAAAACTGCCCAGGGTCACCTTCTGTTAAGTGCCATCAAGAATACATCACTCAGAGTCACTCAGTGATCCGTGAACAGAGAAAGCAAGTGTTGGGCCATGACTTCCACGGTGACCAGCAAGTTTGTTTCCGTTCTCTCTTATCAGGCGGCAGGTGTGGTTCGCCAGGCAGATGTGGACGGTACACCTTGAGCTGGCTTCTTTCCAGCCTGTCATCCTTCCAAATGACCGCTGTGCTTGGATTTCATGTTTCTGTACTGACTGCATCTCAAACAAGGCATTTTGGACATTAGGCAATCCTGCATATGGACCCATGGCAGATTCTCAGCAGTGTGATCCGTGTTTGTGTTCACAAAAGAGAGACCTTGGATACTTATGTGATGAAATCCAATGTAAGGAGGGATGGAGAGGAAGGTGCTTCATCTGCTGCCGGCACCATCCCTACCATGAACTCTACAGCAAGCTTCAGGGAGCTCCAGATACAGAACTCCACGGGACAACTTTCTCTTCCACCAGTTCTTGGCAGTATGGCATCAAGGTTCAGATAAGGACATTTTCCTATCTCTTGGGCTGGCACCTCATACAGACAATCTCATTGTAGGCCCCCTCTCTCACAGGCAGAAATACAGGTGGTTGAGAGGGGAGAAGTGTCAAGGGTTGGGGGTGGAGGGGTTGGTGCTGCACTCATCCAGAACGTTTATTCTCCCAGCACCATCTTCAGTATTGGTGCCATCAAGCTGGTAGGAAGGTAGCAGAAGCAATTCCAGGCTGCAAAAGTCCCATGGCATTCCAGGGAGGGGAGCAGACCCTCTTTCTAACCAAAGAAACTTCCAGCAGCCTCTTAGGAATCTTCTCTGGCTTCATTCAACTCTGTGTAGTTGTTCTGTACCAGCCTCTCTGGTAAAGGAGATGCCCCTCAGGCAAGGCAGGGAGAGGGTACCTATGCAGTACTGCCGCATGGGCAGCAGAGTTGAGGCTGTGCCTGAGGCAACTGCCTATATTCCACCCTTTCCCCTGGCCCTTAGGCACGAGTCATATCACACCCTACAGGTGTGTTTAAGCCACTTTCCTGAGGTGGATTTGGCCTTTCATAGATCCTGCCACCTCCATTCTCAGAGGGCAGAATTCTGCATTTGAGTATACACCTTGGTAGCTACCATCAAAGTGTGAGAGCCAGACCTTTTACGTAGTTGCTACACATCTCGGTGCCAAAGGACTTGATTTTGTAGCTTGGTACCTCAGCACTGACTTAGGTGTTCCGTTTGCTCAGCTTTCTCTGTTAAGAATTGAAATCTATGAGCAAAGGAAGCTGTAGGGCCTCCTCAGGGTGAGCTCAGCAGTCATCCAAATCTCATGCTTCTACCACTTTTCTTCAGCTGATTTCTGCACTGTCTCCACTTGAGCCCATGAACTCTGAGGCCACCTTTCCACAACCTGACTACCCTGTCCAAATTTCTTCCAGCTAGACACAGTCAGCCCCTAAAGGAGAGTATGCGTTCAGCTCTGCAAGCTATTAGTCCTACTCAGGTCATGGCAAGCCTGACTATCCCCCTCCCCTATACCCTCAGCAGAAGGGAATTAAGGTTGCTTGCTATTCACATGATTTTTTTTTTTTTTTTTTTTTTGAGACAGGATTTCTTTGTATATCCCTGGCTGTCCTAGAATGCTCTATAGATCAGGCTGGCCTCAAAACTCAGATCTACCTGCCTCTACCTCCCAAGTGCTGGGATTAAAGGCATGTGTCACCACCCCACCTGGCTTCATGCCACCACCAGTTATCAGATGAATTTGAAATAAGATCCTGGATTACCTGAGTAGGTGTTTCACAAAATTCCTTAACTGGTAGGTGGCAAAGGAGTTAGTGTGGAAGAGACTTGAAAGGCATGACAGCCAGCTGGGAAGGAAAGGCTACAAGGCAGGAACACAGGCAGCCTCTAGAAGCTGTGCCACACTTTCACCAGAGCCACCCACAAGGGAGCTTAGTCTCGGGGACCTCTTGACCTAGCCCAGAGGGACCAGTGAATCGTGACCAACAACTGTCAGTCAGTAAATCCACATGAAGTCACTATACTTGTAATTTGTTAAACTAAGGACACGGAAGCATCTCTGTGTTTTCATTTCCTAGAAGGTCTTCATACTCTTAGTGGGAGTAGTTGCCATCCTGTGGAGACTGGGTTACAGAGACCAGCCTGTCAGTCACGGGTGAGGGATGCTGGGAGTCCATGCTTCTGCCCAGGCCAGTGACATGATTCAGAAGCCCTGTGGTGTGGGCACCTAAATGTGGCACTAAGCTGAGGTTAATCCAGCACTGCAAACTCGCTGGGCCAGCGTAGTGAGCCTACATGGGCAGCCTTGAGGCAGAAGAATGGCTTACAAAGCATTATGTGTGCATTTGCTGGTTATTTTTCATAGAATTAGTAGAAACAGTTTTGTAATAAAGGCCACTTGGGAGTATTTGAACAGTACCACAATAGCTTCTGAGTTCTGGCATGTTTGTTGATGCAGGAGATGTTCTTCAGCCTCTGGTTTTTACTTTTGTTTTTGAGACTGGGGCTTATATATACCAGGCTGGCCTCCAACATGTAACTGGGGACCTTGAACTCCTGATTCTCCTGGGATTACAGGCCTGTACTGCCACTCAGTTTTATGTGGGGCCTTGTGCATGATGGGAAGCATTCCACCAAATGAGCACCGCCCTCTGCCTTTTTGAAGACAGTTCTCTCAGCTCCTTAGGGCAGGGGGACTTGTCAGATTGGCCCCAAATCTGCAACAGTAACCCTTGTCTTACACTATTAAGCACATGAGTTTATATATAAATGGTTTCTGTTTAACTTCCATTTCACTTGTCCAGAGTGTTTGTTAACTTCTGCTTTCTAAAGTTAGTCATGTATGTTTCAGAGTAAAGATAAATAAAGTCCACTTCTAAAGCACAGATGGTTTTGAGTGTGTGTTTTGCCCAGGCTTTGCTTCAAGCAGTCCTGCCTCCCGACTTGAAGCTACAACTTGAAATGTGTACCAGGGCAGCCTAGCCTGCAGCACAGCTGAGCCAAAGCTTAGATGAAAATGCATCCAGGTTGTGGACCAGCAGCCAGTGCTGCTAGCCATGGACAGTAAAGGACAGCCATCAGCCATGAAGGGCAGCCATGAACTCCGTGCTCTCTGGGAGCCAGAAGTGATCGGCTAGCTGTTGGGAGCACGGCTGGTCTTTAAGGGTAATTTGCTCAGTTATAGGAAGGGCACTGCAGTCTCCATTGTCTAGGCTGGCCTTAAACTCATGGGATCCTCCACCTCTTCATCTCGGAATTGCTGGGGTCACAGATGGACACCTCCATACGCCATTAGTTATAGGACATTTCTGCTGAGTCTACAAGGAGTCCCAAATGTAACCTCACTTTCCCTTGTATTGTGGTCAGAAAGGAGTCAGTAGGTAAGCTGGGATTTATTCATCCCCCAAGGTGTTTTATATAGGACACTTGTCTCTAACCTACGGGTGTAATGCGCAAATGAAAACACCCTCCAGAAAACAGCCTTGCATCCTTGGTTGCTCTCCTGCTAGCACTCACAGGTCCCAGGCCGGGAACCTGAAGGCCTCTTGTGCCAACACACAACAAAACGCTGCTATCTGAAGAACAAGACTGGGTTTTAATGCTCTGTCAATTCCCCGAAAGCAAAAGATTAAAACCAATCTGTATAAAAGTAAAAATAACAAAAACCTACATTCCAGGAAGAGTTAATGGCAGCCAAGCAGGTCTTCCAGGAAGCAGCACCAGGCCCTCTGGACCCCTGCGGGACAGGGACTCAGGTCCTGGTTTGCAGAGGGAGCCTCAGGGCCAGCTCAGTCAGATGATTCATGTCGGGTTGTTTGCTTCGCCTCTTGATGTAATCCAGAGTTTTCACCTAGAAGGAAGAGCTCCATCTTGGATCTGGCTTCACAGCCCTGACCCGAGGGCTAGAGCCCACATGATCTTTCCCCAGCCTAGCTAAAAACGAGCCATCTTCTCAGGGTACCATTAAGCTCAGACTTGGGGCCTGGGGACACAGCTCAGCTGGCAAAGTGTTTATGTATACAAAGTTCTGGGTTTGATCTCCAGCACCACACAAGCTAGGTAGAGGCAGGAGGATCACAAGTTCAAGGTCACATTTGGCTAGACAGCAAGTTTAAGGATAGCCTTGGCTGCCTAAGACTTGTCTTAGAGGAGAATCAGACTTGGCTGCAGCCAGAAGTGGGTGACATTTTCATGCATGTAGCTTTTCCTGAGAGGGAGGGACCAGGAATGCTTTCTAGCACTAGGAAGGGCACACAAGAATTCTGGGGTCTGGCACCCATTTCAGGTGACAGGGCAGCTTGAGGAGCTGCTGGTGCTGTGTCAGACTCTGGCAAGGGATCCTGAGGCTTACCATGGTTCTAGTGTCTGCACAGCCATGCCTCTGTGCCAAGTGCCACAGGTTGACCGACAGTTGGTTCAGCTTGTTGTTTCGAAGGTCCCCATGGGCTAGGATGCTATTGAAGAAGGACAGGCCCAGCAAGCTCTGGCGCTTCAGGGCCTGGAAGAGAGAAAGGAGGTTATGACCTTGCCCTGGCACATTGGATGGGCTTGGTGTAGCTGTCCTTGGTAGGGTGGTTGTGGTAACATTGCCACGTGTTTATTGAGCCCACCCACGGCATCTGTTGGGAGTGAAGCCTAACAGCACTGAAAAAACTGCTGCAACTAGTCAAGCCAGAGGCTTCCACATGGCTCTCGGTCGTGGCTCAAGCTTCTGAAAGCTGTGGTTACTAGTGCTGATCCTAACACACACATAGCTCCTGAAACCATATGTTCTGGTATGAAAAAAGCCACACAAACCACTCAGACTCTGGCCTCAGATATGGATGGTTTATTTGAACGGCCACAGTAAGGACTCGGGGACCTACCTATGACATCTACAAGGCCTCACAGCAGGGTTTTTAGAGAAAAATAACCAAGTGCAAAAGGCATGGTGAGGGCAGCATGAAGCAATATTACATTTTTGGCTATCTAGACGGTATTGTCAGCTAACCTTTAAGCTGACTGGTTCTAGGTGAGGTAAGTGAGGGTCTTCCAGAGTGCAGCCCAAGTGCAACCAGGTATACAGATAACCAGAGTGTAGCCAAGTGTACAGATAACTAAGTATGAGTTATGACTCTATGGAACCAAACGGTCAGCTATGAACAACCGCTTCTAGGAAGCAGAGTTGAAAAGTTAAAAAAAAAAAAAATTGAACTTAATTCCACCTTAGAAACAAAAGGGGAACTGAATACAAAAGATGGCTGCAGCTTTGTCTCAAATAGCAGGCTCCAACACCGGGCAGCCTTCTAGAACTGTTCCAACATTCTGGTTGCTTGTACAGCAACGCAGGCACTGCTGAAGATGAAAACGAGGAGTCTAGTGATGGATCTCTTCAAGGACAGCATAAAGGTCTGGCCAGTCAGACAAGCAGGGAGAGATGGTAAAGAAAGGCCAGCGAGGCTGTGGACACAGATTAGTAATGGGCTTGTACGAGGACAAGTTGGATTCCCTGGCACCCATAGGAAAATGTGTGTGGTGGCACACACTTGGGTCTCCATCGGGGAGGCAGGAGGATCCTTGGAGCTCATTGGTCAGCCAGCCTAGTGGTACTGGTAAGCCCCAGGTCAATGAAGATACCCAACCTCAAAAAATAAGGTGGATAGCACCCAAATTTGACTCCAGCCTCCAAATGCATATGTACACACAGGCACATGTGGAGGGGGAAGGGAAGGGAAGGGAAGGGAAGGGAAGGGAAGGGAAGG